TATTCTACTATTGTAAGAAACTTTTGATTTGATTGTCAAAATCGTTTAATATTCCAGATGCATTTCTAAAAGATGATCAAATACAAAAACTAAATAAGAAATTTTTAGACAAAACGAATATCAATCGAAGTCAAACGGAGACGAAATTATCAAATATGAGTGAAAAATAATTTTCATTCTCAAGGATCATGATCTCTACTAAAATGTTTACTAACTCAAATAACGGTGCTCCACAAATGATAGATTAAATTGAATCAAACACGTGTATGAATTCTGCTCTGATTGTTACAATGATACTAGCTCTTTATTTTTTCTCTCATTTTTATGACCTGTAGAATACAGTAAACTGCATCGACTTATCAGATGGAAATTTTCAATATATGCTCCATATCATTTCGTAATTTCTACTGATTTTCCAAGAATCAAGCAATACTATTTCAACAAAAAGTTTTTTTTTTTCCTTAAACTTAGTGACACATACAATAAAATGCTTGAAACAAGACGAGACAAAGTAGACAGATACAAGATGAATCCTATAAACAGTTATTCAAATTAAAAATACTCTCATACGCAGGACATTACTATAGTAGTCAATCTGCATCTAAAATATGAAGAATCTGAAAAAAGAAGGTCAAGATATTTGTCACAAGTTATGATAGTTATCTCAACAGATAGTTGCACTCACCCCTCCTCCTATTCTCATTAATCGATGGTGCAGGCAAAAGTAAATAATCTTCGTCAATGTATCGTAACAAAAACCGCAATATGAAAACTACGTAGAATATCTTTACATAAATCTATAGTTTGTTAACACGAAATATTAAAGCAAAACTCTTTGTTATTTTCCTAAAACATACTTCTATTAAGAAGACAATAGTTGCAACCAATAGTTACGAATACTCATGATAGACGATATTTCGAACGACAATGACAAAGAAAGAAATAATCTCATTTTTGTTGCATTCATTCCATTAGTCAGTCATTGTTGATTGAGACTGTAAAAAAATATATCATTATTTTCATTGATGATCATCAACGACATCGGTCAAAAAAAAAAGGAAATGACCATATATAAATACTTGCGTCTATGGGTGTTTTAAAAAAACAGACGTGCAGATAAATATGAAAGATTTATTGTTGAACTTATATAATTTACCAGATGAGATTCTTATATCTGTTTTAAAAAGATTGAATCATGTCGAAGTACGCTATTCTTTAACAGGAGTTAATAAATGACTCACTATAATTCCACATCATTCGATTTTTACAAGTCATTTAACATTATATTTTTTTGGATAAATTTATCAAGACATTAACTGATTCAATCCTTGATCGATTTTGTTCACAAATTTTACTACAAATTCATCACAAAATCGAATGGCTTAATCTTGAACCAACATCTATGGAACGTATTCTTCGTGCTAGAAATGATCCATATTTATGTGGACTTGGTTTATATGGTGTTAGTATAGAACAAGCTATATCTCTTATTAGTAGGTTATTTCACTTCAATTATATTAATTTTGAATCCGTGAAATGTGAATAAAATCTCAGTATTGTTTTATCAGATTTATCCTATAGTTAAATAGAACATTGATGAATCTAAGTATGACTTTGTATATTGCATTTTTATAGTTCTACATAAATTGAACAAATCAATAATATGATTTAATTACTATGGAAAATAATTAGTATGTTTCTCAAGACATTTTTTATTTTTAGAAAATACTGCTTTTACTTCTGTAGTCAAAAATCAAATATTATCACTCTTTATTGATATTAGTAAAGATAAAAAGATATCAGAAATTGATGACAATAAAATTATTTAAACATATCTTTACTATGTTTACCAATTTACAATATTTAAATTTCGAACCATCTTTGATATTGCATCAACCATTTCCATTTAACACGCTATTTCCCAATGTGATTTTTCCTCAAATCTATTAGAACTACATATTACTATGGTTTCTTTAATTGATGTACTTTATTTACTTGATGGACATTTCAACCAACTTCGTACGTTTCATGTTAAGGTTCATCGCATTCAAAGCAGAAGTTCAAATATCCATAGTAAGGTAGGTTCTTCCCTAGAGAAAGTACTGAGTTCAGGGTACCCATGTACTGAGAAAGGCCTAGCAGAGTACCCAATATGAGTACTTCAAAAATTCTCAGTAATTATACTGATGTATGTACTGCGTGTGGTTCCCATAAAAGTATGCTCATTTAACAAGTACTTGTATGGGTACTCGCATCTGTAATTTTACTGAGGCAAGCTACATAGGGTACCCTATATTTGTCGCGTTCTGTGTGGCGACTATTCATTCACCGTTTTCTTCTTCACGCATGGCTCCATATAAACAACTGGGTAAGACATACGAAATTAATCTATTTTCATACTAATTTTTTCTAGATTATTTCTTGACTATTTCTTAGTCGAGAACATGCCGATCTTGATCGTAGATTAAGAGCGGACTACTCCAAAGTGATCTGATGGATACCTGACCAACTCAAGTCGAGTCAGATCTCGACATTGTACTTGCTAAGTTTTCGGAACTGAAAAAATTAAATTGAATAAAATCGAAAAAAAATTGTAATAAATTGCTTTGAGAGAAACCCAGATTAAAAACAGTTAAAGGTCAGATTCGATCCTGAACATACTGAAATTTTTGTAACACGGTACCTAGAAATACTATACAATAGTACCCAATTGAGTATCTGATCAGTACCTTCAAGTACCCAGTTACTACACATTTTGTAGCAGAGTACTTGTTAAAGTACCACTTAGGTACCTGAAAGTACTTCCAAGTACTTGGGTACCCTTAACTCAGTACATTCTCTAGGGGATGCATTATTAGAAGCAATCTTTAACGGTAATCACGAACTTGATATTTGTTTCAAAATGCAAAACCTGAATTCCAGTGTCGAAAATTAGGTTTTATATTTCTCAAAAAACTTATTTTGAATTTTTGAACTAATTATTCTAACATGCTGAGTGACATATATCATCCGATACAGAGTTTAACTTGCTACAAGACAGCCTATTTGTTTTTCATTTACATCGCTGAACACAGCTTTTACATTCTTGTACAGTTAATGAGATACATATATGAATATAGAAGCTTGAGTGTTGCATAGAATGATTAGATATATAGAAAAGATCAATATTAACGAAAAGTCAAATATTTCTAAGCACTTGATGTGCCTTCAACTTGGTCGAAAAATAACTGCGTAACACCGTTACGTTTGTTTTTGTTTTTGCATTTTTATCAAACGAGAGAACATCCTCACGTGGTAAGCTACTTTTGAGCTGAAATTTTATATATAAACAGGATATCTCTAGATTAAAAAAATCCTAAGAAGATATGAGCGTAAATTGTGATTTGGGTGTGGGTGTGTGGATATGGATAAAGGAAAGACAAGTAGCCACAGCCACAGCTTCAACTACATCGACACACCTATTCACATCCACACCCACACCTCCATACCCAAATGGTGATATTTGTCTTCGGATTCAAAACCATCACGGGGCGTTATTTCAATATTTCAAAATGCGGACTCATGTGATACACAACAGTAGATACTGTAAAATGTAGAAAATTCCTAAAAAAAACAGTGTAAGATGGTTTCGAATCCAAAAAAAAATATCATCATTTGATTCAGTACGATGAATTATCCCATCCCAGATGGTTTTCTGGTTGATTCAAAGTCAATCGGCTGAAATCAGGGGTCTCAGGAAAAGCCTTATAACTCTTGAACCGAACAAGCTAGAAAGGTCGACCTTGCGTAGATCGGAAGAGAACAATTTTTTCTACTAATAGATAAATTAACAAATAGATTAAGCTAACAAAATGGTTCCAGACAAGGGTGCTCAAAACGCCCATCGAGAATGCGCCTCATTGGTCCATTACTGAACAATCATATTCTAGCATGTATTGATGCCCCTGTGTGTTCTCTTTCTAATGACGAAAGTCGCAACTCTCTATCTTGTTCCTATCAAAAGTTATTCAAAGAATATCAACATGTTTGTTTTTAAACGGGCATTAGATTACGCTTATTGTTACATTGTACTAAATGAATTCAATCAATTTTTGTCAATATTCCAACTCTAACAATTGCGCCTTCCAAGCATGGTTGTTATTTACAAATTTATCGAGTTCGATTCGATTCTAATTCACTGATATTTTTGAAACAGGTGATTGAAAATTGAAATAATTTATATTCAAAACTCATTTAATCATATACTTAGACAAATTGTATCGTCATTAAGTTACCACAAAAATCAATAGAACTGAAAATAAAGATATCCCATGAAAACTCTACCTAATAAAAGAAACCTTAATTTTGAATTTTATTAAAAGTCACGAAATAGAAGTTTGAGATCTATAGATATTCATTAATTAAACTATGGCAAAATCGTTTATCTTTTAGACTGAAACAATACTGACTGCTCAAGAAATACTACAGTATATTATTCTTAAAATATAATTTTGTACTTTTTCTTGCTAGTAATTAGCAAATCTTGATGAGAAGACTTATTTCTGAATTAGATAGCTTTTTATTATTTAACTCTAAGCATTACTTGTGAATAACAACAAAATGTTGCCTATAGTTGTTAGGCAACGCTTTGTGAGAGGTAACTGACAGCTGTTCATACCTCTCTCTCTCACAGTCATATATGACGATGAATTAAAAAGCATTTACTGCTGAAGAGTTCTGCTTCATTTTCTACCACTAACTATGTCATACGCAAGTGAAAGAACGATAAAGAATATTGTCAACGTGAGTTATACTATTTCAACCATTCCGCTTTGCTATAATAGTCGTTTTTTTTTTGTTTGTTCTCTCCATCACTAGAGCAACGAAAACGTCAAGAACAAAAAGAAGCTGTTAACCAATAAAGTACACATACATATAGATGATGAGTTTCTTTCTACATTGTGAAATGTTTCTTTTCATTGACGAATTTAAATTTTAAATGATCATTCAATCAAAGTTAGATGGCAGAAGGAAATTGGATTAATACTGACAATAAAAACGATGATTTGGATGTTAATGCACCAAATCCAGTTAATATTAATCCTAAATTCATGGGTGATTATCCACAACCAAAACCAACAACATCAAAAATTCCTGAAATGATTCCAACTTTCGAAGCCACCACTGAACTACTTATCATCAATCATCCACCAAAACCTCCTGGAACTGAATTAGGACCTTATTTTCAATTTATTTCGACTGATTGTAAAAAAATGTTGTGGATAGGTAGTGCATTAATCTTTCGACATGTTTCGTTCGATCAACCGAAAATCGAATTTATTTGTGATACAAAAGTCGATTATCAATGGGAAATTTTATATGAAAATCTTTTCAATTTACGTGCTTATCGTGTCAATATTTTCATTAAATTACGTACTGGTGAAGGTGATGATAAAATTATTTGGAAAATTGATTGGGGTGATAAAAAGACCGATGGTTTGTTTTTTATTGCTCGTTATGATCAAAAATGGCGTGGAGGTTTCTTCTCGTGTAATGGATTTGGTGTTGCTATTTCGAAACAAGTACTATCAAACATAACTTATTCAAATGTTTGGAATCATCTTCTTTCAATTCATGAAAAAACTCCATTACATATATTATTGTGGGGTGGTGATCAAAATTATATTGATTTTATTTTTCAAGATATTCCATATCTTCGTGATTGGGTTACTATGGAATGGAATGAAAAATGGACTTGTGATTTTCGAAATGATTTAAAAGAACAAGTCGAACAATATTATTTTTATGCTTATGCAGAAAATTGGAATTGTCGTCCCGAAATGAAAAAAGCTCTAACATCAATTCCAAGTTTAATGATATGGGATGATCATGATATTTTCGATGGAGCTGGAACTTATCCACCCTTACTTCATGATAGTCCAATGATGATGGGATTATTTCTAGTGGCACAAAAAATGCGACTTCTTTTTCAACATCATACTACATTAGAGAAAGCTCGAGAACATCAATTGTTTGGATATCAAGGATATAATTTTTTTGCTCGTTGTGGTCGAAATTTAGCCATCATTGGTGCTGATGGACGATCTGAACGAGATATACAAACTATTCAACATGAAAAGACTTGGAATATGATTTTTGATAAACTTGAAAATGAACTTGAAGATATTGAACATTTAATTATTTTATTTCCTGTTCCATTTTCGTTTATTCGTATTCGTATTGTTGAATCAATTTTAGAACATTTAAAAAATCTTCCGAATACATGTCGACAACTTCCTCTTATCAAACAAACTAATTCAGTCTTTGGTTTACCTGAAGTTTACGATGATCTTCTCGATGAATGGACACATGGTGCTCATATTGAAGAACGAAATCGTGCTCTTCTTCGTTTTCAACAAATTTCCGAAAAGAAAAAAGTTCGAATAACCTATTTTAGTGGTGATGTTCATTGTTGTGGCATTAGTAGATTTCAAAGTAGAGGATCTCATCGACCATTACCAATTAATGATGCTAAATTAATGTATCAAATTATCTCATCTGCTATTGTTAATTTACCTCCGTCGGAAATGGGTATTCGAATTATTCATCTATTCAAAACCAAATGGAATCCAATCGATAATACTGAAGAAGAATTGATTGATTTCTTTGAACGAAATCCAGCAAATGGAAGAATATTATGTTGTAAAAAGATTCGTCCAAATCGAAACTGGTGTTATTTCGAACAGTGCTCAAATATGATGTCATCGACTGTTCCTATAGTTCAAACACGATGTCTTCATTGTTTTCCATCCAAACAAAATCTTGTTAATCCAATCTCCAATCATCAAGAAGATAAAAATGATCGACAACCTTCGATTCATTCGCATTCTAATCGAGATCTATGTCCTGAATTGATTCAAACTGATCAACAACAAATCAAAACTAATGATTTGAGAATTCGATTATGGTTGGAAAGCATCGATAAACGTCAAGATGAGACACATTTTGTTAGTTATGATTTACTTATTCCTAATCTCAAATAAATCTTTTTTTTCCTTCTTTTCAACTTGCAATATTCATAATCGGTTGAATGATAAAGTCAAGACGATGGATAATCGACTTGCTTTTCTTCTTTATACCCACGGAAAAAATGTTTGAATAAAATCGCGGTTAACCGCGGTATCAGTCGAAAAAAACCGCATTTGTCGTAACGAAGTTATATATGTGGTCGAAGTCAAGGGGTGGTCGTCTCGTATGGATGAAGTTATAACGTTGTTATCTAAATGTGACAAGAGTGTAAGTTCGACGTTGACGGTTCTCGAATTGAACCTTAGTTATTTTATTAATACATGGTTTTATAAAGCGAAGATGATGTCGACGACTACATGATGAAAAGAGATTTTTTGGGGGGGATTAAATACTATTTTGTGAACATTATTGTTAAATAAATAGTGTTCACTGAAAAAATATTTTGTAGCATGAATTCAACAACAGAAAATTGAGCCTAGTTGTTTATGGGGTGACAAGTGAATAAGAACTAACTTCGAAAATCTTTCTTTTGTTGTGTTGGAAAATTCGATGATGATCATCGTCGAAGTTATAATTTCGTCGGTCGGTGTAAATTTTATACGGCATATATTTATATAGATATATATATATATCTTGTTTTTTTCTTTCCATTTCTTCTTGTTATGTGTGACTTTATGTGGGGTGAAGCATTTCCCCATAAAGTGGAACAATTTCCCCCATCGACTGGTCCAATTGTCCACTGCTGGGGTTTCACGAATCGGGTTATATTTTTCTGTATATCCGCGAGTTCAACCCGTTCACAAATTTTGCATTTCATTCTTTGCATCTCTCAATTCCTCGCTATTCACACCATTTTTTCGGTCCTCTAATGGTTTAATTACTTTTATTATTTCTTTCGTTCTCCAACACCTAGATTCATTCTATCATTTTGTTTCATTTCATAGTCGTTCTTATCATTCAAGTACTTATTTTGAAGTAAGTGCATATAATGGATGACACAGAAGTCCTGCCTTGATTTTGTTTTTGATATCAGCGCTATGATTGAATTTTGTTGAGACTTCGTTGTTTTTTTATTAGAAAGATCAAAGTATCTATAGTGCAAAAATTCATGAAAGAATTTGATTGGATTTTTTTTTCAAAGACCAGAAATATTTTAAAACAAAAGGCTTTGGGAAACTCTTCTGCAACTGTTTTCAATTTAGAAAAAAATTTCATTGGTACTCGATCATTGATTTTATCTATGAAATTCATATAATGGATTTGATTTAATATTTATATATCTTTAATATAGGTCTATATTCAATAATAGAAAATAGATCCATAAATTGTCTTAAACTTAAACTCAATATTAATGAATGCAGATTTAAATTCAGTTTTAAATTATTAATGGGGTTTGAGCGAAAGTGATTGAATAAAAGATGAGTATTCGAATATATTCAAAGAGTTTTCATTATGAAAGAAATTTTTTAAATAAAATTTCTTGATTTATGGAATAACCATACAATGATGGTGTGAAAAAAATAATTCATTGGATTTGATTTCCAATGAATGTAGGTTTTTAAATTAATTACTTTCTAGTACTGAGGGTGTATGCGTGTGGACATGATCTTCTTGTTACCCATTCACACTCACACCCTACCATGAAAAGCTTCTTCGATCATAATGAATTTTACATAGATAGACATTGAAGCACAATATATTTTGAAACAGACGATAGTACAAAATTAATTTGTCTTTTTGCCAATCCAAATAGATAAATCTAAATTACAGATCTTATCATAAGAATTGTCATGATAAGAACGAAGATAATACACTATATTTAGTTTCGATGCTTCATCTTTAAATTTATAAATGAATTTATTAGTCGATGTATCAGACACTTTTAAAATTGATAATTTTGATAAATTATTCAGTAAAAATAACAAATCATCCAGTTGAGTAATATTGCATTTTAATTGTTCAATATTAGAAAATATTTTGCAAAATTGTTCGATTTTACTAAACTTATCCAATGAAGGAATGAGCATATCCAATTTTTTGATCATTTTATTTAAATATTTACATAATTCATTATCAGAAAATAATGATAACAAATAATTCGGATCAACAGATATTGATGATAGATTGGGTGATTGTTTTAATATTTCTAATAGTATTGTTGAGCTTTCTATTTTACATAAAAATGAAATATCTAAATGTTTTAAATTATATAAATTAACAATCATTTTAAGAGATTTTATATGTTTGGCTTTCAACAGTATTCTGTCACTATCCCTTTTAAAAAGATTCGATTTACATTTTAATATTAATGATGTAACATTAGAAAAGTAATAATGACATTCTTTTGATAGTATTTCTGAATCTAATGATAAATATTTTATATTGTGAAATACATCGAAATTATTTATTAATTTATTATAATATCTATTGATATCTAGTTTTAATTCAAATCTATCAGCTATGCATGGTAATGTATAAATAAGTGCTGTAGTTCTTCCTAATGACTCTTTTAATGAATATTCAGTATACCAATGATGTTGTTTAAGCCAAAAATCACTTTGAAATTGATTAAATTTATCAGCAATAATAGATTTTCCATATTGACTATAGTAGAATTTGAATTTGAAAATATGTAAATGAGGTAAGGAAGATTTAATTAAATGTTCCCAACGAGAAGCATCAATAATATCTATATTATCATATGCAGATATTATCAAACTTTTTAAATTTGGTATTTGTTTTACAAATATTTCAAAATCCTCAAATTCATATCCATATTCATCAATAATTAATTGTCTTAGATGAAAAGCATAATTATTAATGAAATCTTCGCCTCGTCCTATCACTTCATGACAATCAGGAAGACGTCCAACATTGAGATATTTTAACAAAGGTGCATATTGAAATAATCGATATAAATCACTCAATAAGCAACCGAAAACTGTTAGATTTGTAATTACCGAAGTTTCATTCTTAGCTAATGGAACAAAATATAGTGAACGTATAGATAATATTCGTAGTTTTGATATCGTCAGAACAGCCATTATTTCTGAATTAGGTATATTACAATCTATCAAACGAAGAGAATATAATTTTGGTATTAATATTAACATTGATTTCAATTTGTTCATATTAATTTCTTTAACTTGAGTTAAAATTAATGATTGAAGATTAGAAAATTCATTGAATGTAAAAATTGATAAAAATGCTTCAATTTGACCATACATTTCTTTATTTGATAAATGTAATGAATAAATTTGTTTTAGATTTTCTGGATTTAATATTATTTTTCTACAAAAGTTATCAAATGATGACTTAGAAACATATTGAAAATCCACATGTAATGGAATATTTCGAATAAGTTTATAAAATCGATAATTTAATTGATCGAATGAATCAAAAATATCTGGTGCATTGAGATATTTATAACATTCCATTAGAATTTCATTTGGTAAAAATTCAAATTTCATCATGACTTGCATTTCACTCATCTTTAGTAAAATGGTATCTTCAAATAGTTAATTTCTTATCTTTTAAATATATGAAGTGTATGCATGTTGTTCTTGATATCTTTTAACCCTGACTTCAAGGGAAATAATAAGTTTATAACATAAAGAAAAATGTATGTGTATGGGTGTGGGTGCAAATTTCTGTGGTTATCGGTGTGTAAGTGTATACGTGGTTATGGCTGTCGAAGCTTGTAGATGTATGTTTGATTGTGGAAGGGTTTATGCGTTTGGTAGCAGTTGCTGTATATGATTTTGTTGATACGGCGACGAGTATAGGTTTTAATATAGTTGTTGGAAGTGGATGTTATTTTGTATGTAAGGTTTATGAGAAGATCCACGCACTCACACCCACATTCGAAAAAAGAACTGATCTCCAGATCGAATACTCAATAAAGAACCAGTCCTTATAGAACTATAAGTTGTCATAGGTCTAAACAGCTAGTGATCTGCGGTTTTCAGCAATCAAAAGAGAAGACATGGATACGTCTTTTTCTCTAATAACATATAGAACAAAATCATTTTGAAACGAATAATTATTGCAAAACTTTTTAAAGAATTTATGAAAAAAGTTTGTCATTCTGATTAAATTTTGCGTGAAAATAAATAAAATTCCGTGTCACTTGATCGAATAGATACACAATTTTATTTTGCTAAACATCAGAGTGTGAGAAGATAATTATTCAAATTTTTTTTTCTTGAACTATAGATCTCCGGTTCCTCTGTTTAAGACAGATGTTGAAATAAAAATTTCATCGGATATGGCAGACCTTTTTCTCGCATTTTTTGAAAAGTTTTGGGGAAATCATTGGTTTCAAAATGATTTTGTCCTATATACATATATTATTGGAGAAAAAGCCATTTCCATGTTTTCTCTTTCGACTGCTGAAAACCGCAGATCGCTAGATTTTTGCGTACTCGACTTATTCATTTTGTAATCGAGTACTTTTAAGTTCCACATTAACATTAGTTTAATGATAGAATTTCAGTAAAGAAAACGTAGAAATTATATGAAACTTAGAAAAAATTCCTAGAGAGGAAATGAATATATTATGTGATAAGTTTCCAAAAAAGTAAGGAATCTAACTTAAGTCTCTCAAGAAAATGTACAAATTGGAGACAATAATATGATCATCAATTTCATACTTACATATTCATTCATCTATTTTCTCGAACGAATTAATCAAAATCCTTTCTCCACACTTATTGAATACTGAAGATGCTGGCAGTGCTTCAATGGCGTAATCATTATATCAATATGTTGGATCAGTATTACTTTTTAGTTTTACTTTGCCTTTTATTTCTTTCGTGCAGTGATTGTCACTAAGTTAATTCGTCGTAAGGATTCGAGGTATTGATAAGAAGTTATGTACTTTTATTGCGTTTGAATAGAGTATTAGAAAGCTATAGAATCATATGTTCATATATCGTGAATATTTCCTTTTAACATCTCATTATCAACTCTATATAAAATAGTCTAGCTAGCTACAATAAAGAGAGGATGAAGCACGTGTTGTGAACCAATTCGCCTTTATTTTTCAAATCTTGATTTCATGTTATAGTTAAAGGTGATTAATGAAGGCTAACATTCATCAAAAAATTGACAAGTGAACAATTCATTGCAGTTATCATGTTAAGATAAATTAATTTCTTTTCATTTACTAAGTGAGTTACAAATATATTCGGTTTGTCATTTGGATCATATTATTGAAGCATATCTTGCACTCATTCATGTTTATCTCTCCTCTTTATTAAAAATGTTAAAAATTTAACTTGATCTTATTCTCATGCATTAGACAGGGAATTGTTCCATTCCTTTTATCAACAAAAGTTTCTATATCTGTGCAATATCTAATTATTAATGAAAATTGTTATTTTGTTTAATTGTTTACGGCAATTCTAAATAAAATAAAATCGTTTCTATGAAAATCAGATAAGTATTATCAAAGCTTACTCATAAGTAAACAATTCAATAAAAGTTTTTAGACGAATGATTATTTAAATGTTTTCAATTGAAATCAAAAAATATTCATTGTTAAAATATAAAACAACATATACATATTGGATTCTGCCAAATTGTTAGTATTACTTTGACACTTTGGCATTTTTCATTCCAGTAGGCAAAACTAAGCATTAATTCTCTATTATTTCTTTTTAGATACATTCGATGAAGATTTGTTGAATCATACTCAAACAAAATCTGTGAATTAGTCATCTTTAATTATTGTTATTGATGCGATTCTTATTCTTTTCATTATTAGTCTTTTAGTATTTATCATACGAAAATATTCTAAGATCAAAAGTTCTCTTCAATAAAATTTAAGTTAATTGACACTGTTAATAATGGATACTAGCAATGAAAATATATTAGACAATCCATTTTGATCTTTGTTTAATTTTTCATATAGATTTGATAAATTTATTTTGCTGTATTTAAAAGAATATTAAACAATTCGAATTATTATTAGAAAGTCATTTACTGTAAAAACAGGGTGTGGATGTGAATTTTTCCGTCACTGTACCAACACACATTACACCCACATCCCATACCCATTTTTTTCATTAACCGATATCAAAAGTTGTGAAAGTAT